AAGTAGTCCCTCAGCGTTTCCACGTTGCAAAATTCTTGGACATACCATTTCGAAGTGCAGCAATAGCTTTTTGCAAGTATTCCTCACTCCACTTTCCCCGTATACCTCAATTACGTTCTCTAGGTATAGTTAATCTGGAAATAAAAAATAAATGTGTGTTAAAATTCAAGGATCTCAATATTCCTAACTGGTGTAAGCAATATCGCCACTGGCGATATTGTTACACAATGAGATTGGCGGTATTGCTTTGAGGGATACCAGTTCAAGGCTTGTTTATTAACAAAGATTAAAACTATCTTTCAAATGGAAAGTGAGGAATAAACAAATACACAAAAGTATGCTTTACAAGATAATCATTCGGAAAAACTACTTACTAAGTAATTTTGGATGATATAAACAAAATAGCTTTTAATATACTTTAGTAGATCGCACATTCACGAAACAAACTTTTGTCGGTAAAAAAACAAGTGAAATGAAATTTGAGGTTATGAAACAACTATTACTCGTCATTTGTCGTAAGTCGTAATTTATTATCTCATATAGAATCAGTAACACTATCTAACAACTAAGGGCATAAGGTACACATGGCGATATTGTATACACCTACCTTATGTTTATGTTTTTTAGTTTGTGCTCTAAAATTATTAACGTATAATCATTAAAGTTTTTCGACATTGAACTTATTTGCCATAGGTATTTATTTATTATAAAATATTTACTTTTCCAATTATTATACTTGATTGGGGAGGTTCTTCAGAGTTTACTCAGAAATTAATTATCTAGTATTAAAGTTAATGAAATAATATTTCTATAAATCAATGACATATTGATATCGGCATACATATTATAATATGTATATCTATGATCTATGTATTTTAAACCAAACATCTAAATTTGTTTGCTATTGTTTCTTTATAATTACAGATGTAACATCATGTCCTCAATTACACCTCAACCATCAACTTCTAAACCTGCTGAAGAACTGGAATCCTCACCGTCGTATTCTGAAGATGGTCGCATAAGAAAAACGTCATAATGTCGTATACTCAGAAATATACCGCTGCATGGGAACAAGAACCTGAATTTAAAGGTTCGCTGAGGAGCAGCAAGAAAGGGTCCAATTATGCATTCTGCAAGGCATGCAATAAAGATGTTATATGTGGCAAATCCGAAATCCAGAAGCATTATTCAGGAAAACAACACACCAAATTGGTAAAATCATTACACACACAAAAAACTTTGACTGATATGACATCTTATATGGAAAAAATATCTTTAAATGAAAAAATCAAAACTGATGAAATTCGAATTGCAGCATATGCAGCTGAACATAACATTTCACTTAATACTTTAGACCATTTATGAGAAATTATTAGAATATCATTTGACGATTCAGAGATTGCTAAAAATTTCACATGTTATCACAACCAAAGCTACAGCTATTGTCAATAATGTTTTAGGGCAGTACAGTTTTGAAAATTCTATTAATTTATTACATTACAAACAAATACATTTTCATTAATTGCTGATGAATCTACCGATAAAGGCGCAATTATAAATTTAGCTTTAGTGTCACGTATTTTTTATGAACATAAAATTACTGACTTGTTCTTTGGTCTATTGCCTGTAGCAGATGCAATGGCAGAAGGACTTTACAACACTATAGTACATTATTTTTTAAAATGTAATATTACTTATAAAGAAAATCTAACAGGCTGGTGCAAGAGCTATGATGGGAATTCATAATTCATTATCCACCAAACTACAAGCCGATATTCCTAATTTATTCATTATGAAATATGTCTGTCATGCATTTAGTTTATGTGTTAATTATGCTTGTGCTAAATTACCAGATGAAATTGAACAAATGGCTAGAGATGTTCATAAGTATCTACAATACAGTTTTAAAAGACAAACTGAATTTGCAGAATTTCAGGAGTTTGTAGCAGTAAAACCTTATTTTACAACCCTCTCAAACAAGGTAGTTGTCTGTATTGCCAGTTGTAAAATGAATACTTGAGCAATATGATGCTTTAAAATTATATTTTACAGATCAGTGCTACAACAAAAATGGCATTCAAGCACAAAATACCTTAAATTTTCTTCAAAATCCATCTACCATATTGTATTTACATTTTTTAAACTTTGTGCTGCCGTTTTTTATGGAATCAAATTTAGAAATACAATCAGAAAATATTAAAATACGCATTTTATATAAACGAGTTGAACATGTCTTAAGAACAATTTTGGATAGTTACATGAAAAAGGATTATTTAGATAAAACTTTGATTGAAAATGTAGAATATAAAAATTCTCATAATTTTGTGGAAATAGAAAACATTTATTTAGGTGTCTACGTAATAGGTGCTATGTACATGACTGGGCGGGCGACAAGTGCAGTGTTGTCAGCATAGAGGTAGACTTCACAGTTGCTGGGGCACAGGACATCATGGATAAAAAGAGGATAAAGGATTGGTCCTACGACCGAACCCTGAGGAACACCGGCCCGAACTGGCCGTGTTATTGACAAAAAATTGTTAATTTTGATCTGCAACTTCCGTCCTTCAAGAAAGGATTCCAGTAATTTTAGAAGCCAAAAAGGAAAACCCTTTTGGATTAGTTTATAAAGGAGGCCTGCATGCCACACCTTGTTAAATCCTTTTGAGACATCCAAAAGCAAGATGCCAGTACTCATGCTGAGGGTGAATTCTCTGGTTACATGTTCCACCAGCCTGACTGCCTGTAGCTCGGTGCTATACTCGGACCGAAAACCGAATTTAACGTAAGGAATCACATGGTGATTTGACGAAAAAATCTCAAGGTGACGATAAATTACCTTTTTGGCGAGCTTAGAAGGAGCTGACAGCAAACTTATGCGACGGTAATCCTGAGGAAATATCGAACCCACCTTCTTTGGAATCATGATGACCTCAGCAGTTTTTCACCCAGCAGGGAAGTACTGGATTCTGAGCGTCGCATTGTTTATTGTCACCAAATATGTCAGGGCTTTCGGCGAGAGCAGCTTCAACGCCTTATTGGTGACTTGATACTCCCCAGGTACTTTACGCACCTTGAGGTCTTTAATTCGACTTAGGAGTTCCGCTGGTATGCAATGTGGAAACTCGGAGGGTTCCGCTAATGTGCTATGTGGAGCCTCAGACGAATCTTCTGAAGAAGAGTCATCTGAAGAGAATTCAGTGCCTCCGCTAACGCCGTTGGCCCTAAAATATCTCCTGACGGATGTGCTGTTCCTCGTCGAGGTCATTATCAAGATCAAGGTTGGGAGAGAACTGTTTTTTCGTGGCATTAGCGAAAACCTCGACCTTATCCTCCGTTCTGAAGACAATGCCTTCAGAACCGTGGATGTGCGGGAGTTGATCTCGCTTTCCGTTTCTTAGTGACTGCGATCCTCCAGAGAGGAATACTTGAATCAAGCATTCCCGCCAGAAAGTCGCTTCATTGCTCGTTGCGGAGTTCGTGCAGTGCGTTTCTCACTTCATTGGCAAGATTTGTAGCCCTACGAATGTCATCAGGACGAAAAAGCAAAACCGTCGCTACCTTAAAACATATGTCGCCCTACGAATGTCATCAGGATGAAAAAGCAAAACCGTCGCTACCGTAAAACATATGTCACTTATATCACCAGATATTAATTAATTGCAAAAAAACAAGCATCATTAGGGCCTTTTCCATTTTCCCAACTTGACAACTGATAACGTAAATGAAATAGACAAAAAATGGCGTTGAATAAGAAATCTTGATTTAAGTGAATATACAAATTTAAGCGTACAAGAATTTTGGGAAAAAATTTCAACATTAACCCATTAATGCCCAGATTAACATTTTTTTGAAAAACATGTTTTCGGTTAAATATGTGATTACCATAGTAATATAAAAGATATATCAATGAATATTTCACGAACAAAAATTTAAAATGCCGCCATATTGGGATGGGTCGTTAGCGACCCCTTGGGCTCTACAAAAATGTTTGCACAAACATTTCAAATGAAAATCATGTGTATTTTTTATACGTTTTATTTATCTGATTACAATTATCAACAAAAATATTTGAACAAGATACTATTATCTATAATTATGGAATCAGGAGTTATGGTATTCTAAGAAGCATTTGTCATGAAGAGGAACATTGCATGCATCACAACGTTTGTTTTATTTTTACAATTCTGACAGCGGCGTCTTACTTCTCCCGTTATTATCAGATGTCTCCCAGAGGCAGAAGCAGGATATCTGATGGCAGCTCATTTTTTCTCGCTACAGATGGTTCTCGACCATATGTTGACAAAAGTTCCTTTGCAATACCTCTGCGAAAATCTAGTTGGTCTTTTTTATATCCATACTGCCGTGCGAGATTCCAAGAATTTGCAACACATACATCAATTGCCCAGTACGTCAGTGGAGTGTACCATTTTTTACCTCTCATTGCTATTCTGTAATTTGAAATATGATTGTCGAGCTGATCAACACCACCCATATACCGGTTATACTGTTTTACTATAAACGGCTGGGGGATTTCTATTTTCTTTTTCTCTTTAGCAGAATATCTCAGACACTTTTGAAGAGGATCCAAACCATGTACGTTGGATAATAATGTAACGATACTGTTATCTTTCCACCGAATACCCGCTATTATTATTTTTCCCAACAGCAACATCCATGGATCCTCTTTCCATTTTTTTCAAAAGAGTTGAGTTTTTCAGAGGGCACTTATCTGTACGATTATCTCTTACAGTACCGGTGGCTCCAAAACCCTTTTTACCAAGACGAATTATCAATTTAGCAGATGTAAAAAAATTGTCGAAATAAAAGGTAAATCTAAGATTTGGTAAATTCTTTTTCTAAGAGGGTAGCAAAAGTTGCCACTACACGTTCGCCAAGACCCATACCTCCTAGATTTTCTATATTCTGCTTCCTTCCTTGATATATATCAAACTGCAAACAATAGCCACATTTCAATGCAGCAACCCAAGCTTTATATCCAGAGCGAATGAGCTTGCCTCTTATGTATTGCTTGCATCCGTGCCTACCGTAGTATGGTATCATCGCTTCGTCTATAAAATTTTTATTTATGGCTTCAATAAAGGGACGTATCTTTCCCAACTTATCACCTTCTGGGAGATTGTCATTATCAGCAGCATGGAAAACGCTAGAAATCTCTTCAAATCGATTTCGACGCATTGATTTGGCGACTAGTTCATTATGAACATCCTCACTTTCTTCCCAATACATCCGTCTTCTCGGTAGAGGAACGTATCCAGACAAGACTAAAATTCCAACAAAAACATACATTTCGTCCAAACAAAGTTCAAAGTTCAGCTGGTTCTTTTAGAAGCATATGCAACGCTGTCTTTTACAAGATCTGTTAGAATATCGGGTGACAAAAATAGTTGAAAAAATTGGAGAGGCGAACTCTCCGATGTCAGTGTAAGTGGAGGTGGAAAATTTCAAAATGTTTCCGTATTATCACTCTGTAGGTCGCCTTTCATCCACTTACATTTTTCATATTCAGAGTGACTTGCAAAATATGCGAGCGGTAAATTGTCTTCTTCATCCCACTCAATACCAGCAACCCCCTCAATCACTGTTTCATTTTGTGATCTCCTTTCATTGTCCATGAAGTAATATTCAGCTTGAGCAGAAAGTTGATTGCTGTTCGAGTGGTCCGGGTCATTGGAATCTTCGTCTCCAGAGTCGCAGTCCGTGTTGTCGGAAAAATCGTCTGGAGTAATAATAATTCCATCTGGAAGATCTTCGGAATTTTCGATGTTTTCAATTTCTTCCAACAATTCGCTGGTTGTCAACGGACGCGTCCTGGAAAAAAAATAAAAATAAACTACTAAAAACATTCTAAAAAAAATAATGTGAATTATTAAAATTAACATTAGAATGTATTGTGAAGCCCAAGGGGTCGATAACGACCCACAAGGTTTTTAGGTTACACACAACTTTTATTTCTACAAATATTTCGAAACAATGTATTTGCAGTCGTAGATATATGCTACCTAAAGCTAATTTGAATAGTATATAAAAGAAATAAAAAAAAATAAATGTACTTACCATTCATAATAATTATTGGAAGCCATGTTTTACTACACTCAATCTATGGAATTCGGGCTGCTGTTTAGATGCCGGAAATATGCACAATGCCGTCGACCATAAGCACGTGGCTTCATGCAGGCATGTGGTTGCGTTTGCCGAATATTTACGCGTTGTTGTCATGTTGTGCTGAGAGTAGGGTATTAAAATATCTCGTGGGTCATTATCGACCCCGTGGGCATTAATGGGTTAAAATATGGTGATGATTCTCTTATGTTTCCAACCTTAACTAGTTTTGTGTTTAATCGGTTTAGTTTGCCACATTCAAGTGCAAATGTTGAAAGGATATTTTCCCAAATAAATCTAAACAAACCTAAAATAATAAATAAATTATCGACTGAAAGTTTAAGTGGAATTTTACATACCAAAGTTTTATTGAAAAATGACAGTTGCTACAATTTTAGCATCCCTAATGATTTGTTTAGAAGAACGGATTCGTCAATGTATAATAAAACTCAAAATTAAATTATAATACCTACTTTTGATTATTTTACTTTATTGTTTCCTGAAAAACAAAATATTTTATGTTATGCTATGTTCGTTCGTTCGCTATTTATACAGAATATTTTTTTTATATTTTCCATAATTTTCATACTTAATTTATCATGTATTGTGTGTATTATATATTTTAAGAAATACCTGTTACGTTAATTAAACTAATTATACGTAAAAAAATTGTTCTTCAATACTCCTACCCCAAATTACAAACAATTTCAAGATGTATATTAAATATATAAAAGGAATTCTAAAATAAACATGGTTTTTTAAGTTATTAGGGAAATTTTGGCAAAATATCTAGGGAGAAAAAAAATAATCGTCTGGCAACACTTATGACAAATGACATGTCGACAGTGTATGTTTTGTGTGTTGACACGTTGACAGAACACTGCTTGGCCGCGCTCCGCCATGGGTCGGGATATTGCATAAAAAGCCATAAGGTCAGAAAGAAGGGGGGTTTTTTGATGTAATTGTGGATGACGAAATTATAGAGATAAGAACATCGGAATGCAATCGCGCATCACACGAAAAACGTTTGCGATATTAGTTATTACAGTCACTGTGTGACATACAGAGGTGTGGATTGCTCACACCTTTTCCCCCCTCTGTCTTATAAACCAAATTTGAAGTTTGTGAGTACACTATCTTATTTTTGAATGAAATATTTATCTATTTTGAGCGCATTTCACACTCATTTACAGTTACTATAATTATGGAAAAGGTCCATAAAGATACGCTTATCGGTGTGATAGATGCCGGTACAAGAACTGTGAAGTTTTGTGTTTTTCGACCGGGACACACTAAAGAAATAGCAGAGCATACTGTGGATATAGTTACTCACACACCTCAGGAAGGTTGGTCAGAGCAAGATCCAAAGGAAATATTGTCAGCAGTGAGGAAATGTATTGAGAATGTCGTTCAACAGCTTGGTCTTGAAGGTAATTATACAAACGATAATAGTAATAGTAGAAGTAATGCTTTATTGGCATTTTATGGAAGTTGTTTACACATGTCAAATTTTGAGAAACTAGCACATGCAATTTGGCAAGTACAAAAACCTTGTAAATACCATGATTTGAAGGCTTCAGGAGACAATATGTATTGTGTGACTGACAAATAAACCAGTTTTAAATAACCTTCACAAAGCAAATACTTGGGAAAGGCAAATTTCTACTAAAAATATTTATAATTTATATTTTTAGTCTGAGCAAATTTCCAATTTCACATCCAAATCATGAAATGACCATCATTAAGAAATACATATTCTTATTCTGTCAACTTTCTTCAATAATATGCAATTGGTTGTAGGAGAACCTATGTACTTATTTGACTACCATCATCAAAATGTATCACTTCAACAAATAAATTTAAATTGCAAGACAGATGTGTGTGTAATTCCATCTTATACTATCTAAATGAACAGCTATTTAAAATATTTAGCTTATATTTAAATGACTGTCTCAGTCATACAACTGAGGAGGATTGAATCAGTGGTTTTGGTAGGAAACAGGAAAACTCTTAAACAGGTGATTTTCGGCAAAGTAGATAAATAAGGCTTGTAACCTTATTTTGAAGAAGAAATATGAAAAAAAATACAGCAATACTGATACTGTTTTATAAATGACCCATTCAAGTACCGGCCATTGTATATGCAAAAACCATGTAAGTCTAGGCTCATAATGTTTTTACACTCAATGTTTATTGCATGCCAAAATATGTATCTAATGCATATAGCACAAAAAGCATGTTAGTAAAAAATGGACTTAGCTGGTTTTTGAAATGACTGATTCTACGAGCAATACATTCAGGATTTAATATATCCAAAGGTTACTTATGGAAATTAAATAAATTGGAAGATGGATACAAAATGTACAAATCACACAGGGTTGACTCCAAAAATATTCTGCTTAGTTCAATGGAAAGGAAAGGGGAGATGTCCCTAAGTGAGGGGTACCAAGGGGGGCTGGATTGTTAAAAAGAAAATGACAGTATTTTATTTGTTGTTTAAACATACATATAGTTTTTTTCACATTTTTTGGCTGGTCACAGTAAAACTGCCAGTATGACTTTCATATCTCCATCACCCTCATACATACACAAATCATCAACTCTTAAGTTTCAACATTTGTTTGTGTTGTGAGACATATGGCGTTTAGTTTTACTTCACCACCAAACATTTTGTATTAGGAAGAATATAGGGTATTTGGGTTTTCACTGGTAACATAAGAAAAATACATGATTTTGTTTTCAAATTGACAATAATCACAAGATTATATGATATGTGGTACATATTTGGCAGGGTCAGACAATATTTTGATTTTGATACCTTCTATAGGTATAAGAGGAACATGTATTTATGTGTATAAAGACCGAAAATTTATTAATTTTTGATAATACTCTGCCATCACTGAACCAATTCTAGATTCTCATAAACCTCAAAATGACTATAGACTTCCCATGCAATTCTGCACAAATGCACTTTGTATATTCATCAAGTATCTGAGTTGACTTCTATATGCTCTGATATTATATCGTTCTGTTGCTCTGGTATTTTATTATGTGCCAGGTATGAAAATCCATTTACCTTGTGATAATGCCATAGTATAGAATCAATAAAAAAAGCCTAACAGTTGGTAATGTAATATATATATATATGTTTGATTAAAAAGTATTCTCAGTTTATTTTTTTGTTTTTTGAAATAATCGAAGACAACTTTTGTTACTTTACACCTGAATAACTACAGCTCCAATGTTATCACATTATCTGATTACTTATGTTCAATGAATTATATTGCCCTCGTAGTCTTAATTATTACATTACATCGCAGTGGCTTTGTTAACAACCTCATCTCAACTGTTAAGGTTACAAATTCGTCGCGAAGATGTTTGCCCGGCAGAGGTGCACTTTGTACATATAAGATATATTTCTTTCATCTTACGGGTGTACGGGAAAATATGTCTGTACATGTAAGAAATAGTTATTTCATCTTGAGGGTAAATGTACTGGGAGATATGTGTGGTGTGGAAAGTAAAAACAGAGTGACCTTTTTTTGCCATATACCTGCCATATAACATTCAACAGCAAAATATTGATGTTTGTAACTTTTTGGAATTAGAATATTTACTAAACAGGATTTTAAAACATAGTGCGTTTTGGGCACTACAACTTTGCCTTACGAAACTCAACGCCCTTGAATGAAAGTAACTCACTTAGTAACGTCACTTTTGTTCAAAAGAACTAACCGAAACCCTCGCGAATGCACATTGCTCCATTTTATCTAATTAAACTTCAATTTAAAAAAAAATATGATAATTGATGAGGGTATTTTCAAAGTTAATCTACAAAGTGAAAATCTATAACTATAGAGATATAAGCGTGACTAAAATGTTTCAATGTTTGTGGTGCTGACGTTGTAAACTGATAAATACAAAGTAATACATTCATGAAAAGATAAAAACGATATTTTCAATAAATCTGCCGTACAAGGGGACTTTGTACCCAAGCGTTACCAAATACGCGTAAATATTGACATTAATATTTAGTACAAATTTCAAATGCTTTGTTGACGATCTATTACTCTATGCATTTGTTGTGGCTGAGTATGATTTTTAGAAAAAAATAGCGTATCAGAAGAACACGCGTAGTAGTTATTTGCAAAGTTTACAGATTAAATAGTTGGGTCACTGGTAAGACAACTTTTCTTGATCGCTCTTTTTAAACGGATACGGCAATCTCAGCAAAAACTTGACCTTTTAGAAATGGATAGTCTTAGAAAAACGATTGCTTCAACCAAAGAACTACTGATTACAGCCCTCGAGGTTACAGCATATTTCCATTATGTGTTGACGTCTACTGAGGTGAACAGCTGACCAACAAGTGACATCTTTTTCTGTCTGAAACGCTGACAAAAATGAATCTGGTGTAAACCTGGTAAAACTCAGGACCGTATTAGAGCTCTTGTTCACATATCTAGATACTTTTAATGACTGGAAATTTTGACAATAAAATATACGACGCACACATAGAAAAATGTTTATTAAAAAATTATTATAGTACATCAAGGATTTATTGATTATAGGGTAAGTTAGTAGGATAGACTGCCTAGTCCTTTCCAATAGCTGTAATTTTACCCATAAAATAATATAGACACGTGTTTCTAGTTAGTTGTCCATCATCAGTGTAACATAATTTAAATAATAATAATAATGTTTATTGGAGTATTAATACATAATATAATCAAAATACGAGCAAATAATATAACACAAAAAAAAATAATACTCCAAAGGGCTGGGGATTGGCATATGCAGGTAAGTATGCGCTACATTTCTTATTTTCCTCCCACAAGCGCTAACAGCCACGTTTTCGTTTCCTCTGAATTTTTGTAGTAATCTTAACTGTTGGCCCAAACCTGTATTTATGAACACTGCATTGTCCGAATTGAGTACATTTGATGACTTCCTGCAGTAATTTTACATTTCACTTCCATTTTTCTAATTCCTAACTTCACCTGAGTAATTTTCAGACCTAATTTAGGGATCAATTCGGTCATATAGTGCCACACATTT